CGTTCGATGCCGCGAGCCGTAAGTAGCGCGGGCGTACCACCATCACACGCTCACGACCGCTAACTTGTGTCCAATTGCGTTCTTCTTTGCGTTCTTCCTCACGGATTGACCGTTTTTATAGGTAGTCGTGATCGTGTTAGTGGTCGTGATACCGGCAATGCGGCGACCCGCGGCCGTTTGTTGTTGTTGTCGCAAAATCTCTTCCAGTTGTTGCTGCATCTGGGCTTGGTTGAGAACACGGGTTCCTCGCCTTCTTCGAGCTCGAGAAAGATCCGATCTCACCGACGAAGGCAGAGTGGAGTCACTGCTACTTCCTCCGCCTCCTCCACCGCCTCCTCTGCCTCGACGTCGTCTTCCACTACCACTGGCGCTACTTCTTCTGCGGCTCCCGGCATCACTGGGGGACGTAGGCGTGTTTTGACGTGGGACGCGTCTCGGGCGTTTCCCTCTTCGAGTAGCTCGTGTCAAAGGTGTGGCGTCTGTCACTGTGGGTGAACGTCCTGCCATTCGACGCAACGAATTGGGCGTACCCACTCCAGTCGTGACGTTGGTGCGTGAGGCACCCGAGCCAGCGCTACCGACACCCGTCGTGACATTGACGCGCGGCGTGCCCGCGCCATCGGTGCCTACTCCGACTGAGGCCCCTCGCAGGGGCGGCGTCGCCAGTGACGATCGTGGTGAAGGGGTGTTCAGGCTCACACCCACACCCGCTGCAGGCAGAACCGGAGTACTAGTTCGATACAGTGACCCCAACGGCGAATAATCGTCCAGAGCTGAGAAGTTGAAATCATCACTGTTGTAAGAGCTCATCTCTCCTGTTTCTTGCTATCTTCTCAGCGATTACTCTTTCGTTATGAATCAAATTCTCGAAANCCTCCACCTCCGCCTCCGCCTCCGCCTCCACCCCCGCCTCTGCGTCGTCGTCTTCCACTACCACTGGCGTTGCCTCTTCCAGCATCACTAGGGGACGTTGGCGTGTTTTGACGTGGGACGCGTCTAGGTCGTTTCCTTCCTCGAGTAGCTCGTGCCAAAGGTGTGGCGTCTGTCACTGTGGGTGAACGTCCTGCCATTCGACGCAACGAATTGGGCGTACCCACTCCAGTCGTGACGTTGGTGCGTGATGCCCCCGAACCAGCGCTACCGACACCCGCCGTGACATTGGCGCGCGGCGTGCCAGAGCCAGCGGTGCCTACCCCGACGACTGAGGTCCCTCGCAGGGGCGGTGTCGCCAGTGAAGACTGCGGTGAAGGAGTGTTCAGGCTTAGACCCACACCCGCTGCAGGCGGAACCGGAGACCCCGTTGGAACCGGCGACCTCCACGGCGAATAATCGTCCAGAGCTGAGAAGTTGAAATCATCACTGTTGTAAGAGCTCATCTCTCCTGTTTCTTGCTATCTTCTCAGCGATTACTCTTTCGTTATGAATCAAATTCTCGAAATCCTCATCGTTATATGCTTTCACGATGGACCGTACTTGACGATAACTCGAACAGAGACAGATTTGTTTCACCGTCTCGTAATCCTCTTGAAAGGAATACATG